CTTACAGACTTCTTCAGAAAGTGCCATTGGATTTCCCATAAGGAGAACTGTTCCTTGAAGTGTTCCGTGAAAGCAGAAGTTGCAGGCTTTTTCCAAGGCCAATACATTATATTTCTTCTCGGAAGGCACCCATTTCCTTTTGTGGAACAACATTGAAACTTGGATTTCAAAGGAGTGAACACCCACACACACTATATTCTGTTTCCAATATAGGATGCTATCAGTATTTCACAACAATAAAATGGAGTGCCATCTGCAAGTGCTAGTTCATCCATTCATGTCTCCTTATTTCCCATCAGACAGTGTGAGGCTTGCAAGAGCACATCTTAAATTGTTTACTGTGGCATCATCACACTCGGCTCAATCAGGCTGCTTGTCTGCAGTGAAGGAGCTGGAATGTATGGGAACCGAGAATTCAAAAGAATAAAACTATGGGTGGCAATAACATGAGTTATAAATAAGATGTTTATATACATTGAAAACATTTTGGTTTTCTGGATCAGGCATTGGCTTTCAGGTGCCTTTTAGGTAACCTGGATTACAAATTCTAGGTTGGAGTTATGGAAATTGTATCTGACATACCGGTAGCTGGAGAGTAGAAAATATATGCAACCATAAAACAATATAAGTATAGGAAAATACTTTTTAGCTGAACTTTGTTATTGAATGACATGAGCAATTGTATGCAAGAAATTTAAGAAATATATTAAGGAAAGAAAAAGTGCAGGCTATTTAAGTCTTTTTTTTTTTTTTTTACAAAATAGGTATTAAAGTCATACATGAGATGAAAGCAATAACATATCAATAATCAAGAAGGTAGCCTGACCAATGTCAAAACTGTTAATCTGGAAGAAATAGACCCAGATTGTTACATCACAGGTGTAGCGTTTTCCTCTTGTGTCAGTCCGGAGCTTGGACGCTCTGAGATTAAGTTCTATAGTTGTGATCTCCTTTACCACAAATAAGTAGAACCAAATTTCACAAATGTATTAATTTTTGAAAATTAACATGTACATAAAAATGTACGACTTACATTTGATAAAGAATTTTTCCCAGTACGGTGCTCTCAAGTTCTTTTGAAAAACTCTTTTTCCAGAAATCATTTTATGTGTTAAGGTACACATAATTTTTAACAGTGCAAAACTTACTATAAACGGAACAAAAGAAATTTCATTATAGTTGCACTGATACCTGTGATATAGGCATTTGCTGCCACCTTGGGGAAGACTCCTTTCCTGAAGGAGGCATCTTGAGTATAGTAACATAAATCAACTTCATGTTTGGCCTGTCATATCCCCACAGGAAGAAAAGTTTCTTAAATCCTTCTACTCATGCGGTCATAAGATCTTCCAGATGTAGAGATCTTCCAGAGCATCTTTCATGTTATGATACTCATTGTGGAGAATTGCCATTGTTCTGAGTTGGAGCAGCATAGCTTAACATGTAATTTCACAATGCCTGTCTTAAATTAATGTAACCTGGAATAGCAAACTAGTACAATGAATAGTTCTAACAGTTACACCCGTCTTCCCAACGGATTCGCTGAGTTCACACAACACTGAGCAATTAAACCAATTAAATTCTGACTGTGCATAAAAACTAACTTACCCAAAAGAAAATCACTATTTTTGGCTTACAGAATCCACATTCATTTTTCATAGGAAGCAGATTCCTAGGAGCCTTTGTCCTGGGAGACTATTGATCAGGTTTCATGACATCAGTGGCCTCTGTGCCAATGGCTAGGATGGAAGCAATTGGTTTGAGTTGGATGAGTTGGATGTTATCGCCAATTAATATTTAAGAGATATGTTCTGTCCTTCTAGGCTCAGCAGTAGACTTTCGAATGGAGAAACTTGCTTATATAGCTACTCTGGGTAAGAAAAATCCCAATGTCTTGTTTTTAAAGAGTTTAAACATATTCTCATTCACAATGTGTTTCAATGGTAGGTATTCAGATTGCGAATTGTTTGTATTGTATATTATACAAACCATCTTCAGTCCCTTGAGAAATGAGCAGCCTGTATATAGCAATACCACTATATACCACTTCATAGTGCTTTACAGCCCTCTCTAAGTGGCTTGCAGACTCAGTATATTGGCCCCAACAATCTGGGTCCTCATTTTACCCACCTTGGAAGGATGGAAATCCTCAACTTTGAGCCTCAACCAACTCAACCTTGAGCCAATGAGAATCAAATTGCCGAATTTCTGGCAACCAGCAGTCATCAGAAGTAGCCTGCATTACTGCATTCTAACCACTGCACCACCACGTCTCTTATAAATATAAATGCACAGAAATTCAAACAAATACCCACTGTTGTTAATGTACTAGCATGCTCATTTTTATGTCAGATAGAATGGATGGAACAATGCAAGCCTGGGCAACAGTGTTTGCCAGACTTTCGGATTTGGGGAATGTGATGTCATCTATTTTTATAAACTCACAGTTTGTATAATTATTTATATATTTATATTGTTATTCTCCTAGTATCTGTGAAATAAAAACATAAAAAAAAGAGACCATGAATTGAGAAATGATTGAAAGTGCTTTTAAACAATTTTGTATTTTATTTATCAAAACTACATCTACACAAAGTTAAAAAATAACATTACCTATGCATGCAAGATCTTCACAGAAGAGGAAACTTTCTGGCACCTGTTAAAAAAATATCCCGAGACAAAAGAGTCACTTCATTCTTTTCATTTACTGCTCTCCCACACTTGTTCCAACAATTTAAATAAAAGAAGCTATAAAAATCCAGGAATGGGGTATTTTTACTTGCCCCGCTTATTTTATTGTTTGCCCTTTGTACTTGCTTAGAAAAGCAGCCACTTTGTGCTTAGAGAAACAACTGCACTATTTGCTGCCAGAGGTTCACATATCATAGCAGGAAGACAGATTCAAGCAAAATTGGGGTTCCTACACATGCGACCATAGTGGTAGCCCAGCCTGTATGTGCAATAGTAGCAGCCAGGAATTCAAAGAAAACCTCAGCGGCAAAAACTGTGTGGTATGGCTAAGGAAGATCATATAAGTGGATCTGGAGAAGTCTTCTCTCCCCTGCATTATGCCCTCTTCTTCTCAGCTTCACTTTTGAAGACACAGTTGGGACAACTCTTTGAGGTGAAGCTAGGAAGTGAGATGTGTGGAGACCTGTGGGATAGATGAGTAGATATGGAGAATGGGAGAACAGCAATATGACGCAACAATATGGTTATAGGATAAGAATATTGATGGGTAGCCCAAATCAGTGGTTAGTGTTTTTATCCCCCACTCTTGCTTCTAAACCAGCCTATATTTCCCCTTCCTACCACCCCCAACACTGAAGTATGGTCTTGTCAGTGTCTATGCCAGTGGAAGATATGTGTGAATGTATTTGATGTAGAGGGGTATAGACCTTAGAGAAGTTACATAGTTATCATTGGTAAAATATAGGGCCTGCTGAGGCTCATGTGGTTAGAATGCTGAGGCAGAAGAACATTTAGAAGTCAATACTTGACAGTTCAAAACTCAGTGCACAAGCCACATCACAGAATGAGTTCCTGTTAATTTGTCCCAGCTCCTGCCTTCCTAGCAGTTTGAAAGCATGCAAATGCAAGTAAGTAAATAGGTACCATTTACTTGGTGGGAAAATAACAGGAAATAAGGCACCCTCTCCCCCCCCCCCGCATCTCCTGGGCAATGCTGATGTCATCATCTAATCCTTTCAACTTGGAAACACTTTGGTAGGCCCTTCTGACATAAATGTAGTAATAGTAAAATATGACCTTACCTGGGAAAAAAGGAAAGCATGAGAATGAAAAACGAAATGGAGGAAAGGTCAAACTTTCTGTCAAAATTTCAAGATTCTGTTAGTATAGACTATATATCAACAAAGTAGACTTCTAATATTTTTTGTGGCATTTATTTACTAAGGGGGCCAAGCAGTGGTGGGTTTCAAAAAGTTTTAGAACCTCTTCTGTAGGTGTGGCCTGCTTTGTGGGAGTGGCTTGCTGGCCATGTGACCAGGTGGGAGTGGCTTGCCGTCCATGTGATTGGGTGGGAGTGGCTTGCCATCCATGTGACAGGGTGGGCATGGCCAACTTGTAAAATGTGGTGAAACTCACTTAACAACGCTCTTGCTTAGCAACCAAAATGTTGGCTCAGTTCGCCCCGAAACTGGCAGGAAAAAGATGCTTTCAAAAGTGGAAAAACGGTTGGCCATGTCACACCCAGCCAGTCACATGACCCCCCCAAGCCACACCCACAGAACCGGTGGGCAGAAAAAGTAGATTTCACCACTGTTAATAAGGTTAACATTGACGCATTTTAAAACAGGCTCTCTGGAGAATTCTGGGAACTGAAATCCACCCTCCTGAAACGATATTGACCAGGGGAT